TACTAGGAGCAAGGACGCTACTAGGGGCTCCTGGCCTTACTACTAGGAGCAAGGACGCTACTAGGGGCTCCTGGCCTTACTGCTCACGGGACTTGCGGTCGCTGTCTGGCGCGCGCTTCCTACGGTCCTTCTCCGTATTGGAGGGTACCGAGGAGTGTGGTACATATCTTCTTGTAAGACGAGGTGAAAAGAATAGAACTATACAGATGCTACGAAAAACCCAGTATGAATTTCGAAAGGACGAATATGCAAGCACCTAATTGGGTGCGGGTGGCACCGTGACTCCATCGAGATCACCCCCTTTATGCCACGTTTCACGAAGCTTCCGACGATACAAGAAACGCTGGCGAAATGTAAGGGGAATAGCCGGTGGAACTGCGAAAGTAGGTAACACATGTCGCATTGGTATCAAGCCATCTGGATGGAAGGGTGGTTTACACTTAAGATCTTCGACATATCGTGAAAGGGTACGTTGGACAAGATCGGAGTTTGGGAACTCGGGCCGCAGGGGCATACCCCCGGTATATGATTTGCCCCAACCAATTTGCGTGAGACTGATGGAGCCAGTCTTGGTAAATTTTGGCAGAATAGGGGTGTCTGAATATCCCTGAAGATAGAGAACAATAGTACGGAAAGCCTCGGCTTGCTCCCGGAGGGACCTCTTAATGGTGGGTAGGGCTAAGACCCGTGGGTCTTGCCAGTGAACTGGTTGGGCACGGTCTTCGTTATCCAGATGTATCCAGGTGGGAAATTGGAGTCCGGTATTGATAACGAAAGCAAGAGTGAGTTCAAGCCATGTAATGCCGGCAGTCACAACTGGGTCAGAGTGGTGTAATGTAGGATCCGGCCATCGTAGGGCGGCACAAAACTGAAGAACTAGGTCCGCATATTGGTCGCCCCAGACGCAAGCAGTAACAAATGCTGGATGGACATACGGGTGAAAGATTTGGGCTGAAGTGGGGACTGTGTAGACTGCTCTGGATCGATATAAGGTACCCCAATCAATAGATGCGTCGTGTGATGTATCGACACGATCTGTATGGGTCTGTTTGTGCTTGGCTTGAGAATGTGACAAATTAAGATCCGCGAGATAGGAAAGGATGCACTTTGTTTGAAGAAATTGATCCTGATGCCAGATTTCTGCTTGTCGAAATAGGGCATCGACACGGGTGTGGTCGGTCTGACGGGCTCGAACGGCAGCATGATCTGCCCACTCATTACCGAGGACATCGTTCCGCTCCGGACCAGGGGGTACGTCATTAGGATCTTGATGGGAACGGACTTTGCGCAAGGTAAAACGCAAAGGATCCCAACATGCAGCGAGGATTTGAAGAAGGTCGGCATTCGCAAACTTATGCCAGGATGGTGGTCGGACTGCTTGAGAGACATGTGCGATAGCATTAATGGCATATTGGGAATCAGTAGTAATGATAAGTCTGTGTGGCCAGTGTTGCTGCGTGACGTGTTGCACAATCCAAGTGATGGCAGCAAGTTCAGCTCTGGCAATAGTCTGTGGGCCCTGTACGTGTTGAATTTTAATGGTGATATAGGATTGGTTGAATGTCTCGGGACAGAACTGAATAAGTGACCAAGCCGCCCGGCGTGTCCCTGGATGTATAGGTGTGTCTGCTGACCCATCTGTATAAAAGTAAAGGGCATCACCGCCTAGACGGATTGGGGTATGTTCGGTATCTTGTCCTCGGAAACCTAGGAGTTGACGGAGGATGGCAAAATCAGGGAAGGAATGTGGAAGTGGAAACCATAACTTCTGTGGATTGTGAGTAAGGTAAGCAATTGCTTGTGGGTGGCGTTGCCGAACAGCAACGAAGGTTGGACAGTGGAGTTGTTGGTGTGCATGTGTATCTGGCTCTCCGCAATGTGGACATTGGATATCGACTGTGGATGTCCACTGGGCTTTAACAGCTCCTACTTGGTATCCACCGGTGAGGTTATACGCAATTTGACGAATGGCGGTGGATGACATAGATCGTAAGGCTCGTGACAAGACAGTGTAGTCGAATGGTACAGATGGTACCCCTTTGCGATGGCAAATTTGCCGATTGAGATAATACGCCCACGAGTGACGGAGTGTGCATCGAATATGGCGCAGGGAGTCATGCTGTAAGGATATAGATAAATATCCATCAAGTGTAAGAGTCCCATCATTGGTTAGGGACCAGCCGACAAGTTGTAAGTATCTAGCGAGGGCACCGGCTGGTCCGATTGGATTTCCCTGATGGGCGATGACCGAATTAACAAAATCTTGGGCCTGCGATGGATTGGTATGATAGAGCCGACGCACGAAGGACAAACCTGTTGCAATTACATAAAGAAGGGGATCTTGTAATTGAGAACTGAAAAGGTGTACGGCGAGCCAGCTTGATATCTGTGTTTCTGGACCTACCAAAGCAGTAGTGGCCTCGCGGCGAAGTGTTCGGAAATGCTTGTCACCAACGATTTGATTTTCAGCTCCGAAGAAGGCGTGCGGCCAAATGGCCGTCTGTATAAATTGCGCCTTATGGGCAATGGATGTCTGAAACCATCGCAGCCTCCGGCATCGTTGCACGGCGCTGTTGATCTTGGTCTTTAAGTGTCCTAGGGTAATGTGACGTGTGTAATGCGTCATACATCCCAGGTCTTTGCTCGAGTTGAGAACACTGATCTGGTTGTGATCGGCAAATTCGTCTGCAAGAAAATCTTTCCAATCTGTACGTGCTTCTTTGGTCGCACCCCAGGCCCATGACTTGGCGAAATCTATCTTCATGCGAAGAGCTTCAACCAAATGTTGAATTTGATAGAAAGCTTGAATATTATCTCGCTGCGTGGTCGTGAGGTAGGACCAATTGTCTGCGTAAGCATATGGGAAAACTGTAGGGGACTGAAGGGTCCAATAAAATGCTGAAGAGACCACTAACATAGCACAGACCGAAAGACTGTCGCCTTCTGGGACACCTGTAGTCATAGTGATGGTTGGGCCAACTTGTTGCCGAATCTGAAGTCGGCGGGTCATGCGGCTAAGATTAGTAAACCAAAACTGGATCGCAGCTGCCGGGGCCCCATGATGAATCAGCAAGTGGTACACCACTCTGCGGGGTAACAGGTTAAATGCTTTAATGAGATCCAGCGTAAAGCCGCGCCATGGCAAGGATCGATTCTTTGCATTTTCAATCTGATATTGCTGCATGAATGTAATGTCTTGGACACTGCGGAAGGGTAAACCGCCTGAAATGGCACTTGGCCAGGTATATGTCCATTGGTTTAAGAGTTGATCTGCAATGAGTTTAGAGGTGAGGCGGCTGATATATCCCAAAATAGTAATGGGACGGCCGTCGGAAATTGAAGTGGAAGGCACACGCTTGGCTAAAAGAATGACGCGGGCAATTAACTGATGTGGTGCGAGACCCTGAGGCCATATAGACGCAAGAATAGTGGCAAAATCTTGAATGGCGGCTTGAGGTAATGTTTGGAGCTCTTCGGCTCTCCAGCCGTCAATGCCAACTGCTTTAAAAGGTTTCAATTTTTGAATCGTCTGTGAGATGAGGTGAGGGTCATCCCACCGTACTGTCAGTGGTGCTGTTGGTGGGATACGACTTCGGAGCGACTGCAGGAGCTCAGACCAGGAGTCATCCATTTGTTCGTCAATTCGAGAGTCACGATTCCAAAATTGTGACCAATAAGTCTGAAATGATTCTGCCATGTCAGGCAGGTCGAATGCATATACTTCTTGTGTAAGATCAGCATACGTAGGGACGGAACCTTCAAGAATCTGGCAGAAGACGTGATGCTCCTGTTGGTCTAGAATACGAAGTAAAGCAGATCCAAATCGTGCTGCTGCAAATAGACGAAGGGTAATCGGTTGGTGAATAATCAAATGCAGGGGCCCTTTTGGTGCTCTGCACACAGTGGCAGGGGTACGAAGCTGGATGGGGAACCCAGGTAATAACTTGACATCTTGGGCTTTAAGCCTTTTGTAATATTGGGAGCTCGACTTGTACTGGACATCAAGGTCAAGGCCATGTTTTTGAGACTGCCGCTGTAGTTTGGCCTCCTGTTGGCTGTAGAGGTCTGCGTCATATTGGGTAATTTGTCTTACGGTATAGAGGTAGTCGAAGGTGGGGAGCTCAACTGGCACAGCAGTAACGGCTTCGAACTGTAAAATCCATCGGTCCCGTGATCGACCGTAACCCTGGGCTTGACGGATTGCTTGCCATAACTGCGTCATGTCCTGAAAGGGAAGGGAAGACACCCCAAAGGGCAGCGTCTGTTGAGTTAATTCATGCTTATGGTATAAGCGTTCCAGACACCGTAGGCGTCGAACTTGGCGAACCTTATGGCGACTTTTGAGTGAAGTGACTTCAGTGGGTGGTTCGTAAAACCCCATGCTATCTCGTTTTGGTGATTTAGGACAAGGTGTACGAATCAAGCGAGGGGTCGCACAGCGTCCTCGGAAAAGCTTTGGCAGAAAACCCTGTGGATTTTGGAGGGGGTTGATTTGTTTCTGCTGTCGTAGAGTACCATCGATGGCTCGCTCCACATGGGAGGACCATTGGTATAAGGCGGCGGTAGGGTCTGAGAGTTGAGAGTTAGGAACAAACTGACGATATCTTGAGTACTGCGTAGCAAATTCCTTGAGGTTGACTGAGAATAGTGTCCATGACTTAGGGATATACCATGTGAATGTCTCAGTATGTTTTGTTGGAACATTGAACAGTACCCGAACGACACAGTGATCTGCGAACTGGTGTTCAGGTCCAACGTCAATACGTTGTATATATTTTTGTAGGAATGGATGAAAAATCATGGAGTCGTAACGGGTTGACCCTTTACATGTAGGTGGAAGTTCGAAGCCAAAAACGTTGCGGTGGAATTCGAACATTTCGGCGCATGC